ATCACACTTGGCTGAATTTGCTCAATATTCTAAGCCACAAAAATCAACACTGATGATTGATATAGAGATTTGTTGAGAGGGACACTTGAAATCAAATCTTCAATCAAAAGATTGTGACTTGATCAATCACTTAAATCTTCCTAAAAAGCTTCCTAAAATACTCCATTGCTTTATCTACAAAGCATAATAAGCGTGCATCATACAGTTCATTGAAATGACTTTTACAAAATACTTATTTGCTATTAACTTGTCACTTATGTACTGTATTGTTTAGCAATAGGAAGAGCAAGTTTGGTTGGAGTTTTGACAAATGTGCAGCTCATATAAAACAGGAAGGGAACAGGAAGAAATGCAGGATGGCAGCATGAAGTATAGCAGCACACAGCTGAGGAACAAGTGAACTACTTGTTGACTCTTAGTTATGCCTGTACAACTCTATGGACATATACTTAGGTAAATGTTTACTTCTTGTAGCTATCCTCCTGCCATCTAAAAGTGATCTAGCACAGTGATCGCCAACAGGTGGGCCGCAGCCCACTGGTGGTCCGTGAGAATATTTTGGTGGTCCGCAGTGCGCCCCTGTCTGCAACAGCGGCAATACTGGCAGCGGATGGACTGATGCGCATGAGGAGGGAGGGGAGTGCGTGGGAGATCATGGCATCGGAGCCCTCCCTGGGTGTTCCCTGGCCTGCAAGGGTGTGGGGGTGGGGGAAAAGGAACCTCTAAACTGGTTCTGGGTGGTGGAAATCAGATGTCTGGAAGCCAACAAGCCACATGCTGAAGACCAGATGGCTGGCGGTGAGGTGGGGCAATTCTGCAGTCTCCCTAGCAAACCTGTGTTGTGCCTGCTGCCTCCTGTTTCTGCGTATCGTGGAGGCCGAGCAGCAGCGGGAAGAGCGTGGCCCTCCTGAGCCACAGGAAGTGTTTGCCAGCGATGCCCTCAGAGGGGGAGGATCAACCCTTCTGCTCAGGACTGCAAAGCACTCATCATCCCTCTGGCAGCTGCCAAGCCTCCTCCCACCGTGCTTCTCTTCCTCCTCACCAGAAGTGCTCACACGTCCGGCAGGAAAGAGGAGGCTTGGTTCCTTTCCCCCAACCCCCACCTCTGGGGACAGATAGAAGGGGGGAAGATAGAGAAAGGGAAAGAGGAGAAAGAGAGAGGGAGGGAGGGAGGGAAAGACTGAGAGATGAGAGAAAGAGAGAGAGATATGAGAGATCCCGGTGTTTTGTTTTCTGTGGGTCCAAATGAGTCTTTGAGTATTTAAGGTTGCAGAAACAGGCAGCCAAACTAAGTGCCTGAAGGACCCCATCCTGTCAGTGGGAGTCCAGCGAGCGGCATGCTGGATTCATATTAGTGGTCCACGGGATTTAAAATTATGAGTTTGGTTGTTCCTGAGGTCCAAAAGGTTGGTGACCCCTGATCTAGCAAGCTATTATAGTCCATAGCCAATTCTCTCTATAGAGAGCCCCACTTCCCTAGGCACAATTCATATATGGTAACCCCATTAAAACCTTCCTAGTAAGGAATAGGATGAGAGATAACAGTAGGGAGAGCCAGACAGAATACCAAGAATCCTACTATTTGGAGATTTATACTTATAACAGCTGCATGTTATACATTCATACATTACAAAGAGGAAATGTAAATACTGATATATATGTATGTGTGTATTGGTTGGAAATTCTTAAGTATCAGTACAAAGGAAACAATCCAACAAATATTTGGATTCACTCCCATCCCATATGTGTCTGTAGAAGCAAGTTGCATTAATTCAGTAGGAATTATATTAGGACTACATATAAGACTGCCTTAAATTACACTGAGTATAATTGAATAGGATTCTTTTCTTCATAACCTTCAGAACAATTAAATCATATTGCAAGTAAATAAAACTTGTAAATAGTAACGTGTGAATAAAACTTGGGTAATTATCTGTATCATAAATTCTTTGAACAATCTGGCAATTCAAAAGATATAAAAGAAAAGGGAAAATAGAAATAATTGGTGTAGAACCCAATTGCTTATACATAAATAAAATGAATTCATGTAAAATCAATAGAGCAAAAGGAACTAAACCAAATCTCACTTGCACAACTGTTTCTTTACCCATCCAGTGTCTATTGATACACAGACATTGCAGGATTAAAAGTCAATGGTAATTTTCTGGTAGACTTTTATTTCTTTTAATGATGTTTAATGACTGTAGAGGTGTCTCTGGGATATTGCCCAACCATATCTAATTTGTGGGTTTGGATGTTAGGTTTGAGAATTATTATTTTAATGTGACTCCATTTGTATTGGTTGTGCCAATTGTTTATCTTAATGACAAAGTTTTGCTTCTATATCTTACTAATGCTGTAAAATCCTTTGAAAATCTGTCTTGGAAAGTGTGATAGGGACTGCACTTATGCTTTATTGTTAAAATTGAATGGTTTGTACTGTATGTACAGAAACTACCACAACACAATTTAAAAAAAAAAGATCTTACTTCAAATTTTTTTAATGGCCACTGTTTTTTTTCCACTTAGATCAAGAAGTTTGTGAGTAGGATCTTCCAAGAACTGAACATGTCACAATTGTGTTTCAAGGCACAACCTGAAAGCACTCTCTCCCTTTCTAATCAATCCTTATGAAAATGTTCAGAAAAACTGGCTTTGGTCCAGTACTATTAACTTCTATAGGCATTTACTTCCATAGATTTTCAGGGATTTGGGAAAAAATAATCTGCGTTGAACTGTATAGCAGAACTAGATATTGTAGCCATAGAAACAAAACATCTTAAAAGCATTTTCTGAGCAGCCCTGTATGGATGAATAAAGTAAGTGCAGTCCCTAACATGCAAGACTTATCAGCAATACCATACAGCAGTCATTATAACAGGAAAAGACATAAGCCGTGAAGGGAGTTATGGTGCCAGACTGATAATATTATGATTAGCCATGACAAGACCTTTGGTCTCAGTGGCTGCCAAGAATATGCCAAAAAAAGTCTGCTTCCTCCCAATGTCCAGATAGTTAGGGACATAATGGGAATCCAAATAATGCAGATGAGAAGCAGTGAAATATCTTTATTTGAAACAGAAGCGATAACAGTTTTGTAGCTATGCTGCTGAAACTGTATTTAAGGAAATGAAATTATGAACTATAAAAAGCATGCCTTGAACTACTGTACTTTAATGCATAACTGTCAGAGTTGAAGGACATGGTGCGAATTACCTTGATACCGAAAAAGAAAATTGACAGTGAACGTGTTTTTTTAAAAAATCACTTCATTCATTTCATAAACATTTTCATTGAAATGTTTCCTTCTTGTGACAGTTTCCAGAGCAATTAAAGCCTAATCATCCCCTGTGCAAAATTGGTTTGAAAGAACTGTGTTAGCACCATGCTCTTCCTTGTTTTCTTAAGCAATTGGTTTCATCAAAGAGCTGTTCCAAAGATTACATCAGCTGGAATTACAGGCTTGCTCACATCCCCATGAAACTCAGTTGACTGAACTCCATTGCCACCCAAAACAGCAAGCGCCTTTGTATGTGAGTGACTATAAACATTTCTTTTAAGTGAAGGCAGATACAATTGCAGATATACCAAGAAGTCCTTGTTTCAGAAAAAGCCATTGGTATTTCTTATTGAGAAAAAGGCATTTTCAGATTATTCAGATCTGAACAAATTCAGATTATTTAGAAGGAGAAAAGAATAATGAAAGGCAAATTTTCTTTGAGTCCTCTTGCCTTGCTTATATAACATCATTTAGATCCTGATCTCTGTCACAACTGGTTCACATGATTTGTCAATACTTTAGCTGCTGTCTGCCAGAGTCAGTATACTAAGTTGCTGTAGGAGTAAAACCTTGTTACTCTATGATAGCAGCAAAAAAAAATTTAAAAAAATTTAAAGGATGCCTTTCTGATTTCCCCCCTCCAAAGACCAAATCTGGTCATCCGTCAGTTATCATGGCTATCAGTGATCCGCAGCTCACAGAAACTTCTAACTTTTCATAAAATTTTTGGCTGGAAAAAAATTCTACTAGCCTCCTAATTCACTGATATCTGATAAACAGTCTTTTTATTTAATGATTATTAAATACTTTTACTTGGTTTTGTGATGATGTGGGATTGGCATTTAATAATTTGGTTTTAACATGAGCTGCTCTTAGATTTGTCACATATATACTATCTCTGTCTTGTATTTCTGTCTCTGCTGTCTGCTGCCTGCCTGCCTGCCTGCCTGCCTGCCTGCCTGCCTGCCTACCTACCTACCTATCTATCTATCTATCTATCTATCTATCTATCTATCTATCTATCTATATCACCATCATCACTGTCCAATTCCGGGAAACAGCTACACTACCTGTATGGGATCACTGACAAAAGTAATTAGAAAACATGTTGGAACTAAACAGAGGTGTTTGTCATTCATCTAGGGACTTGCATTGTACAATCCTTTCACTATTATTTTCATGTGACCATTTACTTTAAGATGCCAGCATGCTTGTTATACTCTGACTATGAAGCAGAGGCTAGAGAAAATATTTCTGCTTCTTAGTAAATCAGTGTAAAGATATTCTGTTTTATTCATTCATTCATGGCCATTCTCTTGGCTTCCTTTATAACTACAGTTCCTGTATATGATTGTTAGCAGGCACTTATGCATGCTTTTCCAGCTTTTATTCCAGGAATATTGCCTAAAACAAGCAGAATGGTTCTCATGCATTTTCAGAAACAGTCACCATGAAAAAGGAAAGAACAAAAACTGCCATAATTTTGTCTGTGTGCAAGTGTGTGTGTGTGTGTGTGTGTGTTTCACACAGTGGATCAAATCTTTCCTATATCTGCATCCAAGCTATCTGGTTGTGATCAGATGATTACAGCCCAAGGAAATGATTGGAGAGAGCTGGCTGGCTGCAGCTGCACTGTAGGCTGTTTGCAGGGACAACGAGCTACTGTTTTTTAAGCATAGCATCAACATAGAAGTTATTTTGTGGGTTTCAGGATGCAGCTATGGGCTGTGCTGCCAGCATTGTTCTGCTCCAAGCCTTTCGTTCAGTGGTACAAAGGAATTGTGTGCATATTTGTAGACGACGGCAAGAGGAATTGTCACATGAATTCCTGCCTCTGGAGAGTGATGATGAAATGAGCAGACCCAGAACTCTCAACATTATGGTATAGTATACTTTTATCAAGTGGGTACAGTTGAAAGGGTAATTAGGACAGAAGCTTTATTTTGTTTTCTGGACAGTAGGGAAGAGAATAATAGAACATCTGCTAATACTCCTGAAACTGTGAAAACCTCTCATTGAAATTTTGTTACCTATAGTGTGCAGCTGATTTTCACTTTCCTCTATAATGAAGGTAGGGAAGGCTTGTAGACAAGATGACATTTTGCTATTTCATTTGTTCTGTGTTTTATTTTCAGTCTAATGAAATGTAGTGGCTTGCGACCTAATCATCATGCATAGCATCTTCATTCTTGAATCCTAATACGTAGCCAATATATAAAAACTATGCATCTACTACAAACTTCTCTTGCAGCACAGCTATATTCTTGAGCAAGGGGTTTGTATTGCTTGCTATAATAGAAAATCATTCTATATTTCCTGTTATTAGATCTGATTTATTCTTGGTTAAAAGAGTCATGTTGATACAAGTGAAAAGACATACCTTTATTTTGAACCCAGGCCTTTTATTGCCTTTGGATTTCATTAAGCACATTTAAGAGTAGAAGTCTGATGCATTGGAAGTTCACCCACTTCCAGATTTTGAAAGCATACCCTTTAACTTAATTACTTAGTTACTTAATATTTTGCTGGTTTGGTTATAACATAATATATTACAAAACTGGTTCTTGGTGTTTTCCTAAATTACCATGATTATAGTATTGCATTAATATATTGCCTGAGTTTTCACAAAGCTATAGGTATGACATTCCTTGATGCTGCTAATAATGTTCAGAACTGTATGCAATTCTTTATTGGATATATGGATATAAAGTATCACTGAATATAACCAAGGTTCCTCCTACACTTTATCCTACAAATCTGTTTATAATTCAGACATACTTTGATACCTGAAGGATTATTTGTAGTCCAGGCTCATATCTCACAGTTTGTATTGTAAGAACTTTCTGTCTCTCTTGTATCTATATGCCAGGTGTATCATCATTCATTTGTATCATGTTAAATAAAGTTGTGGTCCAGATAAATTGTTCCCTAATTTTAGCAAATGATATTTCCAGTATTCAAGGTAATTGGCTGCTTAGGGACAAATTGTTGCTATGGAAATGATCCTGCTTTTTAATATATTTCTAACACTCTCGAGCCAAAATCACTAGGATAGTATATATAATGCTAATCCCAATAAACATAATAAATCTAAGAAAAAACAGTATAGCAGTCAGATTAAAAACTCTTGCTTTTTAGTAAGATAGGGAAAATGTAGAACAAGATGTAGGCCTGAATCATATCATTGTACTGTATATGTACCATTCCCTGCTAAGCACCACTCATTGTGTGGCACATTTATGACAATATGCCAAATATAAATAAAGCCAGTTTTTACCCGTGTCCTCCCAAGTGAAAATTTCTACTCTAGAAATTATCTTGTAAAACAAGAAACAATTGCCCACATCCTATGAACGTACCTGAAAATCACCTGGAGTCGAATGCCAGTAATGCAGTGAATAGATTCCACAAATAAAAAACCCCAAACAAATTATGATATATATCTAGAATGCTGACCCAGGATATAGTGTAGAAACCATGACTGACCAAAAACTTCACACAACCTCTCACACTAAGACAATGTGTGAGAAAAAACAAAGCTGTAATCCATATAAATGTGATTTTGTTTTGTGGATTAGCTTGGATGAAAATACAATATGCAGGGAAGTGAAGGTATTGGTTTAATCATGAATGAAAAGCCTAAAATATATGTTAAAATCTATACAACCAAGGTGTATGTCTGGGTTTATAAAACTAGAATCCACCCATCCCAAGTTGATGATCACTGCATGATACACTCCTGTAAAAGGTGATAATCAGAGAGCCAGAAATGAGTTTGTGCAAAAATTGTGCAATGTTCTTAATGTGAATAGAAGAAGAATATTATCATAGGTGACATAAACTGATGTCTGGTAATGAGTTGAGAAAATGCAGAAAAAGTGACTGAATCTTTAGGAAACATAAAAAGAAATAAGAATGATAACTGGCTTAATGCCTAATTTGCTTATAAGAAAGATTAAAGATAAGCAAGGATATAAGGGTGAGAAAGTTTACTGAATATTGTCACAATATTTTTAGTTAGTGTCAAAACTGGATTTCAGAGAATTGGTGGGAATAAAAAAAATTAAGTGAAAGAAAAGAGTGAAAATGAACAATTATAGAAAGAGATAGTACATGTGTGTGAAAGTCTTGGAAAATACACTAATCTCCTGAAATAATGAATTAAAAGCAGACATGAGGCAAGAGAATGTGGAAGTTGCTTAGAACAGGGTGCAAATGATGGCTCTATGTTTCACAGTGGCATAGAAGAGTGAGGATTCACAGTAATGAAGAAAGTTGCTTGGTGGAATGATAGAGTGAAGGTGGGTGTGAATGAGAAAAATTGACATAAGAATAATTGCTGCAAAAAGGATGAGAGAAAGATATTACATACATTAGAAGAAAGATGATAGATGATAGATAGATACATAGATACATAGTTATATAGATGAGAGATATATGAGAGAGCGAGTTGCAACAAAGTAGTTAAAGAGAGTAAGCAATGCTTAAGATTAAAAAAGAAATGCAGAGTTACATGGATACAAATTAAAAATGTTTTGAAAGAGAATGAAGATGGTTAAGCAAAGAGTAAATATAATTACAGATAAAAGTGAGGAAATATTTGGGCTGAATATGAGATGATAAAATGCTGGAAGTAATATTTTGGAAATCTGTATGAAGATAATAATACTATATCTAAGAACAGAATTGATGGAATAATTAATTTCCAAGAAAAAAAAAATCAAGGCTTATATAACCACATGTACAGGTTGTTGTTGTGGGGAAAATAGGAGGTCTGTTGGATATGTTTGCTGCCTTATGTTATTTGTAAAAACAATAAAGGCAGGATACAAATAAATAAATAAATATTCTGGTCCAATCCAATTGATTCTGAGTTATTTGATTTACATGGAAGTGAAGCATGCAAAAGAATGCATGGAATATATAACAAATTATTTAATATATTTCACAATGTTAATATAAGAATGCATGGCATTCCCTTGGTTGTTTAATTGATCTACAGACATGTGTATAAGGAATTTTATAGCATTGTACAGGTATATTGCTTAAGAAATGTGAATATACTTTTTCTATGCAGTTCATGTTTTGTTGCTGGCTTAGAATCCAAATGATTTTCAGCAAATGCTAGGTAGGTTTCATGATTCACTTCAGAGTATGGATCTTAAAACTTGCTCTTAAAAAGACCAAGGTAGCATTCATAAGAAAGATATAATTGCATGTACTTTGTGGAAACATTTCTGTCATCTGGTGATTGTCCAGATTTTTGTAGTCTATATAATGGGAGTTGTACTCCTGGAACTGCTTTCAAATTGGAATTTGACCCTAATATTTTAGACTGGAGCCTTGTTAAGTAGAGCTAAATCTTACTTTGCTGTCTGGTTGTTTTATAGGTCACTCAAAAATTTTGTTGCATGATCATATTTATTAATTATTAAAGTTGATGTATTTTTGATTGATTTATAATGCATGCATCACTAAGCTGTTCTAAGTAGATGTACCTAATAAACAACATTGTGTACCTTCAATAACACATTCTTATTTATATAACTATTCTCATGTGAAACTCAAATATTGTTTCCTGATATCTCAAATATTTCTTGATTTTATATAAATGGCATAGTACTATGTGGTGACCAATCAAGCTGATTAGCAGTTTGGTCAATTAAATAGATGTTATTTATGATTCATGATTTTTGTATTGAAACTATCATTCTAATCTGGGACATAATAGCAAATATACACAGCTAGCTCCTTTTTGGGTATCATAGTGATGAACAATTAGAATGTTATATTTAAGAATTATGCACGTTCAAACAAAAATAGAGTCATGAATGATTGGATGCTAAAGGAACATGAATTGAATAATAAAATTGACTAATTTGAAAGAAGTATTTTGATGAGGGCTCGATTATATAGACAGTATGACAGCATGAATGAACATCAAATTACAAAACAAATATATAAAAGAAGAAAAAATTGATGGAGAAAAAAAACAGACTGGGAATTTTTTAGTTGGATAGAGTTAATAAGTTCCTAGAAAAAAGTGAGGTAAGAATTTTAAAAAGTTAAATGCAATGTTTGATTTGATGTATGGAAATGTTGGAAGCAATGACAGTAAGCAAGTGTAAAGAGGTATCATGCATAGTGTTGATGTAAACTAGATTCTTATCTCATGCCTTTACTTTCTTCCACTTACTATATCTTATGTGTTTTCTATGATCTGTATAATGTTGCTGTTTACTTTGACAATAAAGAGTGGGATGGTATGCATGCATTAGATAAAAATAATAAATGGACTAATGGGTAGTTCCATGTAGTTCACAAGCCATATCATAAACAGTCCTATTGTCAGGTTCCATAATGTTAAAGAAATCCCAAATAACACTGCAGAATATTAACCCAGTCACATATCCATGTGACATATTATTCTGAGCAAAGATGAGCAATTTTATCCACGAGGGATCTAGCAGCCATATCACTTCAATATGCCATACAATTGATTCCTCACTTACTCTTTCCTAAGATACCATAAACAGAACCATTTGATGAGAAACTATTCATATAATAGGCATGAAGAAGTGTGTTTTTACCACTGTAATTATCACAAGCTGGGTGTGGCTTCGTACCTGTTAATAGTCATATTCATTATTTATTACCGCTGTCACTCTAGACATCCCTTCACTTCCTACATTTCACAGAGTTCTTCAGTAAATCAAGAAGCACATGGGATCACTGACTGAAGAAAGGCTACACTGGATTCCAATATCCTGGCCACCTCCCTTTTCCACCAGACAATTAGGTATATGATGGAACTACCAGTTTTTACATTTTCTGAGAAAATCGCAAAGCATAGCAGAACTTCTTAATTCACTGCCCTAAGAT